GGTACATGGGGTGGGCACGGCTGCTGCTGTGGCAGGGGCGCAACAGCCTTTCATGAGCCACCTTCCCTGGCTTTGCAGGCAGCTGTTGGGGTGTGGGTAGAGCAGCAGCCTCCCCCCAGCATCCCTGTGTACCCACAGAGGGGAGCACTGATTCACACAAGAAATGAGAGCTCCCCCGCTCTAAGTGTTTGGGAAAGAGCTGACCCAAGAGGACTCTCACTGTGGTAGTGTCCATCCCTCCTAACACTGATCACATCTCCTACCCAGACGTGGGAGCTCTCAGGAGTTGCTTTTCCAGTTGCTTTCTTGCTTTCGTGAGCTTTGCTGGTGTTAATGGCTGTTCTGAAGGCAGATGCCGTGTTGGCTGAGTCACGTCTTTCTATTTTGAGGTGTGACATGCCTTGAAGACAGCACCGTCCATCAAACATGGTTTGGGCAGGAGCTTTCCAAGGGAGCTGCTGTTGTGAGTGATCTGTGCTGGGATGGCTTTTGCTTGTGAGCCTCTAGTGGGATTCTTCAGTCCAGACTGGCGTTACTGGGAGGTGTTATGGTCTGATAGAGAGCAGTGGTTTCTGTTGCTGGTACCATGTTGTTATTGACCTTCTCCTCCTGATCAAGCACTGTATACTCACCCCTTCCTTACTAATCTGCTGTTTGTGCTCTGTGTTAACCCTTTCAGCAGTTGTCACCTTGTTCATTCCCCACTGCCAGAGCAGTGCCAGCAGGCACCGCTACCCTGCTCATTGCTAACAGAGGGGGAAGGTGCAGCCCGCTTCCTGCCTGGCTGCTCCCAGGCTGCCCACATTTGGGAGCCTGAGCTCTTCCCACTTTTCTTTCCCCCCAGGTGGGCAGCTCTTGCCTGGGCTGTTTGTGCAAGCAAACCTGGCACCGGCGCTCAAAACAGACTTAGTGTTTTCCTCTGGGTGTTTTTTCCAAAGTCAGCTCTGGGAATGGAAGGAGATGCTTTAAATCCGACCCGCCGATGCTTCCGGAGAGCCCGTGCCTTTCCTTAGAAAGAATGCACTGTGACGCTGGTGGGGAAGTCTCCAAAGAGTCGTTAGTGTCCAGGAAGCTGCTCAACTTCCACTCCAGCTATAGCAAAGGGCTCTGGGGCTCATTCAGTCCTGATGGGCAGATGAACGTCCACTGCAGTGCAAGCTTCGAAGGTGTTTCATTAGTGAAGTGGCTGTACGAGGCATCCTCACCTTCTCCCTCCGTGGGCATCAGGCTGCCGGCAGGGAAGAGCCTTGCCAGAGCAGCTGCCAGGCAGGCGGGGAGCAAAGTGCTGCTGGAAAGCAGGATCTGAGCTTGGGATGTGTTTCCTTGGCAGGGAGAGCCTGAGGGGGAGCATCTGGTTTCATATCAGAGCTGTCTGAAACCACAGGCACTGCCAGGTTTTGAGCTGAAACTGAGTCCAGAAAGGGGGGTCCAGGCTGGTCCGCAGCACGTGTGGTACCCCCCTCTCTGTAAGCCTCCTCTGCCCCAGCAGCCTGTCTGAATGGGGCCAGAAGTGAGGCAGGTGATGTGCCCGTGGATGTGGAGCTCCATAGTGAAGGTTTTGCTTAGTGTTCATTTACACTGAGGCACCTTGCTCTGGGGTGGACCACATGAGGTGAGATGGACCCAGACCCTGTTCCCAGTGTTTCAATCTGGACATGGTTTTGGTCTTCAGGGGAGCCTGGAGCTGCTCTTGCTGGGCAATGAGGAGGCTGGAAGCTGGAAAGCTGCTTTTGTCCTGGTGTCCCACCTGTGCTGCTGGGCTGGAGGTCAGGATCAGGGCCAAAACCAGTGGCTGCTCCATGGACAGACAGACCTGGTTTAAGAGGAGGGTGCAAACAGGATCATAGAATGACAGCCTGGTTTGGGTTGAAGGGACCTTAAAGCTCACCCAGCTCCAACCCCTGCCACAGGCAGGGACCCCTTCCACTGGAGCAGCTTGCTCCAAGCCCCTGTGTCCAACCTGGCCTTGAACACTGCCAGGGATGGGGCAGCCACAGCTTCTCTGGGCACCCTGTGCCAGCGCCTCAGCACCCTCACAGGGAAGAGCTTCTGCCTAAGAGCTCAGCTCAGTCTCCCCTCGGGCAGGTTCAAGCCATTCCCCTTGGCCTGTCCCTACATCCCTTGTCCCAAGCCCCATTCCAGGTTTCCTGCAGCCCCTTTAGGCACTGGAGCTGCTCTAAGGTCTCCCCTTCAGGAGCCTTCTCTTCTCCAGGCTGCCCCAGCCCAGCTCTCTCAGCCTGGCTCCAGAGCAGAGCTGCTCCAGCCCTCGCAGCATCTCCATGGCCTCCTCTGGCCTCTCTCCAGCAGCTCCAGGTCCCCCTTGTGCTGCTGCCCCAGAGCTGGATCAGGGCTGCAGGGGGGGTGTCCCCAGAGCACAGCAGAGGGGCAGGATCCCCTCCCTGAGCTGCTGCTCACGCTCTGGGGGTGCAGCCCAGCACACGGGGGGGGGGTCTGATGTAAAACCTGCCTCTGATGGACTCCCCTGGGTGATTCTGCACCAGTGAGGATGCTGGGTCCAGAGGAGCAGTTGCAAAGCACTTTGGGAGCTGCCAGCCCTGCGGATGTGGTGTCAGAGCCTCAGGTTGGCTGGGGGGAAGCGGCCCCTCCAGTCCTGCAGTCAGGAGCCCCCCTGTTCATCCTGAACCCTGGGCTCTGGCCGCCGTTCCTGGAGCCCAGGAGCCGCGGGCTGGGCTGTAACATTAGACAAAGCCTCAGATGTGCCATGGTCAGGGCTGATCTCGCTCGACGGTAACTGCAGGCAGCAGGGGAGCGCAGTGCGAGGGGTGGAGAGCCCTGGTCTGCTCCACGGGACCTCTGCCATGTCCTGACAGAACGCTGTGGGTCCACGTGCTCCTGTGTCTGCCCCGCAGCCCAGCACTCACCCCGTCTCCCTTCAGGACCCTTCAGCTCGGAGCAGCTCGCTCACCACTCCAGCGGTACCGGTACAATGCTTCCTTATGCTGGGGTGTCCACTGCGGGGAGGGGAAGCGTTGGGATCAGGGCAGTAACTGGTGGTGGGATGGGAGAGGGCAGAGGAGGAGCGTGGCCAGGGACAGCTCCCCATGCTTGGTGCCTGTGCAATGTATAGCTTTAGTTTGTGAGCGCCTGCACTCAAGCTGATAAACAAGCACAGGAAACCTCAGACGTACCCGAGGAGTGAATTTGTAACTAAATACAGAGCTGCAGAAGGCACTGGGAGACTGGCTTTGGAGCGGGACTAAATATAACTTGGAGAGGCACTCATATGCCCTGCTGTGTCAGTGCTGTCCTTGGGCACAGGGGAGGTGGGAGCGGGGACATCCCCCAGGGCTGGCCATGATCAGAGGGAGCCCATTTGCTGCGAGCCCAGTTCCCACCACCAAAGGTCTGGGTTTAGGTTTTCCTTCACAGCCTTTTTCTGCACCCCCTGCTCTGTGTCAAACGTGTCCCCTGCTCCAGGGCTGTTGGGTTTTAGTGCTTTCCACTGGCTTTTGATAATCTGTGAGACAGAGCGGCTGTTGAGCTGTGCATCCCCATGGTGAGCGTCTCCAGGGGACAGCCTAAGTCACTTCTCTCCACTGAGTGTGATGGGGTTGCTATGACTCATGTGGATGGACACATCTCCGTCTTTCTACTAGATTTTCATCTCACCACAGTGTCCTCACATCCTGAGACTTGCAAAAGAGGGTTTAGGTGTTTGCTGGCAGTGTGTTGGCTGCACTTCTGAGAATGCCCCAGCTCTTTTGGTGGTGAGGCTGTGGCTGTGTGGTGCCTTGCTCTGACTGTCTCTGCTTGGGTGTGCTGGAAGCCTGGTTGCCCTCCACTGGTGTGGGACCATGGTGCTGAGCCTGACCTGTGGTCCTTTGGGACTGCAGGTGACTGTAGCCTAACCCCTATAAGGGTGCTAGCCCGTGGTATATAATTAAAACAACCTAACATCTGAGTGAGCATGGATCATCCTTCATGGAGGACAAGAGTGGTGGACGCAGCCCAGCCTGGTCTCTGCATACAGTAGGGACCAATGACCTGTACAGCCTGGTGGTGCACACCCAGCTGGAGCTAGAACCCTCCAGACACACCTAAGATGCAAACAGGGTGATGTGTGATCTGCTGAAACCTGCCTTGTCACAGTGTCTTTGGTGCCTGTCCTGCTAATGGCCAACCCTCAGCAGAAGGCGACGGCATTGGTGTGGTCTCCACCATGTTCCCTGGATGTAAGCACTGGGGAGGGAACAACCCTGGAGGAAGGTGGTTATTTCCTTGTGCAGGCCTGCGACAGAGCATGATGGAAGTGGGGAATCCCTGCTTAAGGGCAAGGTGGTTCAATGGGGGGAGGATGGAGAGATGAGGAGGGAGGCAGGTGGCTGGAGGACCCCAGCCCCGGTGGCCTCATCTTTAAATGGGACTGTGCTTCATCTTGTATTAGCTCAGAGAAAACAGCAGCCATCACAACCTGTTCCCAAGCTCTGGGTCCTCATTACTACTGCCCTGAGAGGAGGGATGCTGAGGGTGGCTTTATGGGATTTATGGAATGATCATCCAGGTCCTGCTCATGCAGTCTCCAGCACCCTGGTAGTTTGGGATAGGAAGATGAGGCTGCAAAGCCATTTGACCCTGCTCTTTTTCTGCCAGTTTCCAGGGTGAGCTGTACTTCCAGTGGAAAGTTCTTCATTTTCAAGAATATAGCCAGCTGGTTCCCTTAGTACCCCAAACTCCCTGGATAGGTGGCTTTGGGGTCACTCAGGGCTTGTCACTGACGCCTCACAGCTATTGCAAACCAAAGGGAGGAATGTGCTTCCCTCCTTGCCTTTGCCTTTCCATTTTTTCCTGCAAATGAAATAAAATACAGCTGATGCCATGGGTATTTTAAGACTTGCAGAGAGGAAGCGGGGATTTGCAGCTCTGCAAAGCAATGGGATGAATGCAAAGACTCTGGTCTTGCTGAGCTGGCAGACAGCAAAATAACCAGTTAGAGGATGAAATGTGTCTCGTGTCTGCTGCAGGGAGGGGAAGAGATCCAAGGGGGAGGAGGGGGACAGAAAGCAGAAATCACTGGTGTGGATCAGGGAACTGAGCAGCTTCTACCTTTTGCCGGCACTTTTGCAGGGCTTGCACTGTCATATTTCCCCTCGACTCATCTCTCATCTACCCATGGTGGTGTTGGCCGGGGCCCGTGAGTCCTTCCTGTCTGGGTAGGAAGCCTGTGGTCACCGGTGAGCTCATGCACACGCACCCGGAGCAGAAGCAAGCCCTGTCTGTGCTCGGCAGTGCTGTGCAGGCTCTGGTGCTGATGCCGCAGGGATCGCTGCTTTGCCGCCTGCCTCCCACCTTGGCCAAGGAGCTGGTGCCCTTCTGCTGCACCTGATTCACTGCCGCCGCCTCTGTCCTCCTGCTCACGATGTGCCCGCTGGGATGGTCCTGTGCCTCGAAGGGAGCTGTGGTCCTGGGAGCAGGAAGGATGCAAGGGAAGGTGAGTGCAGCCCGTTTGGGACAGGGTCCTTCCTTGCATGGTCCCTCTGCTCCCACTCGCAGTGGGGATGGTGCAAATCAGGCTGTGGTGGGAGATCCTATCCCCTGACTTCCAGGGAGCTGGGCAGTGTTCCCAGGAGAAAGGTCCAACTTAGTCCACCAGGCACTAGGAGCAGGGCTGAGTCCATCCCTAGAAATGGGGGCAATGTCCCCCTACTTACACCAGGGACCAGTCATTTCAGGAGAGATGAGGCAGGGAGGGCTGGCTGTAGCAGGGGGCTCTGGTGTCTTGTGCTCCCCTTCCTCTGGGGACTGTGCTAACATGACACTTGCTGTCCCCAGCATCCCCAGTCTACTGTGCTGGGATGTTGGGATGTGGCACAGTTAATGCTGAGGGTCTGGTTCTAGAGGTGAAGTCCCCTCTTTGCAAGCGTACCTGCATGAGACACCAGTGCAAACCTGGCTCTCCTGGATCCCTGCAGGAGAAGCGGGACTGCAGTGCAGCTCAGACATCTCTGCGCCTGCCATTCCCACGCAGAGCCTGAGCAAGCCGTGGGCATGGGGATCCCACTGGCTGCTCACAGCACGTAGTGGCTCAGGGCTCAATGGACACAAAGCGGCTGTAACCAGGGTCTTTAGCCCCATAGTCTGTGACCAGAAGGGGTGGCAATGGCAAAAGGAGCCAGCAGGAAGGGACTTGTCCCTTCATGCAGAGGATGTAGCGACATCCCTCTCCATCTTCTCCAGAAAAGAAGTGTTTCCAGCATCACAGCATCACAACCCCGCATGTCACATCTTGTCTCCCAGGGGATTTACGGCTGCTGTGTCCTGGGAACAGCCTGGCAAAGTGGGTGTTCAGACTGATTCTGTCTTAGCAGGCTAAGAAACAGCCCAGGGCAGCGACAGGGATCCTGCTACAGCCCAGGTTCCTGGTTCTGGTGGGTGACATTCCCCACTGCTGTGACACCAGCACTGCGGTCTCCATGGTGTGTACCTGTAGTTCCACACAGCCTCGGCTAAAATGCTTTTTCACCCAAATCAGCAGCTCTATGAATGAACTGAGCTTCAGACAGTTGTTGTTTCCCTGCAGTGACACACGGCTTCTAGATAATGTCCAAGCAATCCCTCCTGCCAGGGGATGAGCTTCATCCCTTATGGTCAGCCTCTGCCCAGAGCAGCATCACTGCCAGGGCAGGGGCTGGCAGTGTCCTTCCCAGGGGAGAAGAGGCTGGGTCTTTGCTCACTGCTATGCTCTGCGCAGCCAAAGGGGTGCCCAGGTCAGATAATCGGGCATAAGTCAGCCTGGCTTCAATAATGCACTCAAAAGCTACCCATGCACCTTGGCTGGGGCACAGCCACTCTCTGCTCAGGCAAGGGACTGAGGGAAAATGCTCTGTGCAAAGGCTGAATGAAGTCCTTGGTTACAGCTCAGGCTCTTGCGTCTTCAGAGCCTCCCTTGCTGTGTTACTGGGTTTGGATTTGTGTTGGGGTGGTTGCAGGGTCACATCTGCTGTGGGGAAAGTCCTGATGAAGCCCATGAGGGAAGGGCCTGCCTGTCTGTCGTGGCCAGGGAGGGCAAATGTGGTCCTTCTGTCTGAACTGGGGATGATGCTGTTCAGCTCTCCCCATCCTCAGTCCTGCATCCCTCCTTCTCTTCCTTTGGCGGCCCTGGTCCCCTCACTCATGGGATCAAAGTGGTCCGAAAGCATCCCCAATGAAAATGGGTGATTTTCTGCACATTTATGTCCGTGTGCTGGTTATGGCCAGTGAGAACCAGTAGCTGGTTCCTGGCAGGAATAAGACTAGAGAGCTAGAACCCTTTCCAGCCTGTTTCCATCTATGTCCTTTCATGCCTCTTCTCATACAACATTTACCTGTCCTCCTGCAGACAGTGACTGGACTCTGAATGAGCTGGGCATTAGTTTTGGACATTTTACATTGCATTTTCTCGGGAGGCCAAGCACTCGGAGCAGGGAGGTTGACCACGGATCCAACCTGAGCTCCTCTTTGCTGGCAGTGAGGAAAACGAGCACTGTTTAAGGGGACAAGTGAAGCGAAACCTGAAGTGTCTCTGGCAGGAGAAGCTCAGCTCCCTTCAGCACTGCTGAGTCCTTTCCTAAGTGGGGAGGCTGAGCACTGGTGAGCAGGCTCCATGCTGGGTCACCAGCTCCCCTCCCACACGTGGGCAGGTAGGATGCGGATGTGGAAAACCACTGACACAATTAGCACCGGTCTGGGTTTCACTTCATCAGGAAGGCTCCATGGGGCAGGGTGCAGCCCCATCACTACTGCTTTGCCCCCGCGATGTGGGTTTCCCACAGCACTGGGAATCCCAGTGCTCTTCCCAGCAGGAAACATTTTGTGGACCACGGTGTCAAGCAGCTCACTGTTTGTGTAAGGCTGCTTTGTGCATGCAAGGGCTTAGAGGAATCATTATCTTTCCTTCTGTAACCACTGAAACAAGGGGGTGATATGTAATTTTTGAAACTAGGAGGAGGAGTTGATGCTCTCTCCTGCACATAACAGGAGGCACATCTCATTTCAGAGAATCATAGAATGGTTTGCACTGGAAAGGACCTTCAAGGTCATGTAGGGACAGGCCAAGGGGAATGGCTTGAACCTGCCCGAGGGGAGACTTAGCTGAGCTCTTAGGCAGAAGCTCTTCCCTGTGAGGGTGCTGAGGCGCTGGCACAGGGTGCCCAGAGAAGCTGTGGCTGCCCCATCCCTGGCAGTGCTCAAGGCCAGGTTGGACACAGGGGCTTGGAGCAAGCTGCTCCAGTGGAAGGGGTCCCTGCTCATGGCAGGGGTTGGAGCTGGAGTAGCTTTAAGGTCCCTTCCAACACAAACCAGACTGGGGTTCTATGGTTCTATGCGCAAGCTGAGCTGGAAGAGAGCTGGAATCTCCTCCCTGCTCCTGGCCCTGGACCAAGCTGCCCACCAGCTGTGCAAGCAGAGGCAGTTGTTTTGCTCTTGTAAGACCCTGGCCTGCAGAAGGACCCTGTTCTCACCTCCCTTGTCCTCTCTGCCATCAGCCGTGGCTGGGAGCTGCTCCCATGTCACTGCTGCGCGGCGGGCGGTGGAAACCGCCTCGGTGGCTCAGTGCCAGGCATGTTATCCAGCCCAGAAATAGAGGCTCCATGGACCTGGGGTGGGTTTGAACACTTGGCGTGCTGCAGGAAACCTTTAATGAGCTTCTGAGAGCTGCTGAGAGCAGGATGCGCCCGAGGAGGGCATTCCCGCACGTGTCCGTTCATCTCCTCCTGCAGCTGCAGAGCTGTTGGCTTTGGGATGGATATTTACACGTTTAGGACTGACCTGGATAGAGTTAGGTCCTAAATCTACAAATATCTTAAAGAGAGCAAAGACTTGAGCACAAGCGTGGGCTGAAGGCCTGGCAGTGCTTGGAGGGATGCAGGGAATTGATGGGACTGGGATGTTATTGCTGCCTGTGCTGTTTTGGGGACCACTGGAGGCAGGCTCCCTGTCCTCAGCCATAAATGTGGGTGTTGCAGGGAAATGCAGAACTCAGAGCTCTGTGCTGGTATTTTTTATCCTCCCTAAAGGCAAGGAGAGAGGAAAACCTGCAGGCTGGGATGCTGAAAGCAGTGCTGCGGCTCACTCGGGCTGTGGTTGCTGCTGTGTCCGTGGATGGGAAGACGGGAGAGGGCAACACTCTAGGGAGATGCTGCCTTGTGGTAGGCACTAGGGGTACAGGACCACAAGGTGCTGGGTTCATGGGCTGGAAGGGACCTGGCTGTGGGGTAGATGGCTACAGCTGAGCATCTCAGCAGCGTGCACAGAAGATGCTGCATTTCCTCTGCTCCCCTGCAGCTACCCTGTGCTGGCTACCCCCTGCCTGTAGTCCATGTCATAGGCAAATCTCCCTTCCTTCCTCCTCGGCTCACAGGGTTTATATTTTTTTTCCTCTTTCTTTGGGAGAACAATGCTTGAGGGCAGGGGAAGCTGTCCAGCTCTGCGCTGGCTTCCCTCTGCAGCGTAACCGGCTCCCGAGCTTTCCCTGGGGTTTGTGTCTCTGGGATGCTGGCTCAGGATGGCAGCAGCTCAGCACACACCAAGCATGGAAAACTCTTGGCAATTAGGGCTCCTTTTATAGTTTTTACTGGTTGGGCCTTGCATTTCAGACTCAGTTTAACTTCACCTGAGCATTTCTTCTCAAATCCCAGGGAGGATGAGGTTCCCTCTCCTGCCCCGCTCAGAGATGCTCATCCCTGGGGTCCTCCTTGCTGCAGGAGGCTTTGGGGGGCAAGTATTCAGATGGGTTCAGCTTTAAGCTGCAGCTTTCTCAGGGAAATACAGCCCCTGAGCTCTGCTGTGCTCACCCATAGGGCTCTGCCTCCCTCCCTGCCGCGCATCCTCCATGCTGGGGTCCCATGCCCACAGAGTCCCAGTGCCTCTGCACTCCCCACCAAGGTCCAGGCTGATCCTGGTCTCCACTGCCAGCCTCAGCCAAGTGTGCCCTGTCTTTCTGCAGGTGAGACACAGGACCCAAGGCCATGCCCACGTGGAGTGAGGAGCAGCTCTGCCACCCACCCATCACTGCAGACACCCTGCGGCCGCCAAGCCCCCCCCACGCTGCAGCCTCAACCCAGCCATGGAGAGTGCAGGTGGGTGATGCTGAGACCCTGGTGTGGGGGATCCCATCCCAATGAACCCCGTTCATCCATCTTCTTGTGCTTTGGTTACCCTCTGATAAAGTATGTGGGTATCTGAGGAGGCCTCGCTGCCTCTGGGCAGACCTTGGTCTTTGCAAAGTGTTGGCAGACCCTGCTGGGTAGATGGGAAATGAGGCACGAAGCCACTGCAAGGCATCCAGAAGGTTTGCTGCAGGGCACTTTGAAGCCACCAGGTCTGGCAACAAGTCACATTTGAATTTTAAAGCAGTTTTGTTTGTGGGTTTTGGTGTCCATTCCCCCCTCTCTCCATGTGTGTTTTGTTTTCACGCTGGTTCACAAGGTGCTTTTTTGCTCTCCCGGCACCCTGAGGTCAGGATATTGATGCTGAAACGTTTTATTTCATTCCTAAGCCACTACCGTTTGTTACTGGTGGGTTGAGACTGTTTTTAGATCAAAGTGCCTCTTGTTTGTGTTGGAGCTGAAGCTCTGCTCCCCATGAAGGAACTTCAGTGTATAGGGGCTATTATTGCTTTGATTTAGAAAAGAGGAGAGTATTTATATCAGTGCTCAGGAAAAGCTTCCCTGGTAATTAAAAACATACACAAATGGAAAGAATAGGAAATTCCAAATAGTCCATTATTGCAGAATTCCCTAGTGCAAACCCAGTGAACATAACAGCGAAACTGAGGAGCTTCACAGAGTCACTGGGGAGAAAACAGGCAGAGAAAACACACATTTTCAAGACATTTCCCCAAATGAGAAAGATCCCATTTCCAAGGCCATTTTTGCACTGCCATTTCTCCCTGGGTGGGGTACGATGGCACAAACTGTGTGGGGAGGTCCCCTGTGTACACAGAGTGCTTCACCAGCACTTGGGAACAGCCATGACCCTGGGTGTGTGGTTGGTTTCAGGCACAGCTTCCACTGAAGCAGCAGTGCTAAGTTCTCTGCAGAAGAAGCCTGAACTGAATGAATGCTCTGCACAAGCATCCTGAGAGGAGATGGCCCGTTTTGGGGGCGTACTCAGGAATAGTCCATCCCATCCCAATACTTTACACTGCATTTCCCAGCTGTCTTTCATGCAGGGCTCATGTCTGCTGCCCCTGTGCCCTGGTCACCACCTCGGCACCCATGGCACTGCAGTCTCGGGCTTGGAGAGGGCAAGAGTGGCTTGTGATGCCTGGCCATGCCGCCCGCCCTGTGAGCTGATGGTGATGGCAGCAAGGATGCTGTGAGGGGCAAAATGCTCCTGCTCTCTGTAGTGTGTCACCAGTGGGAGCAGTGGCAACTTGGCATGCCACATCTGCTCCTCTGTATGATAACTCTGGGCAACTACTAAAAAGCATGGTATAAGAGGAGAAAAAATCATCTCTATTTTTCACTTCAAACCCATCCTGGGATGGTTTCCATGGGATGAGGGGCCAGGTGCTCAAAGCTGCTTCATCCCTACATGATCAGCACTGCCTGCTCCACCAACCACTCACAACCTGGTTAGCTTTATTTCCTTCCAGAGCCAAAGAAGGAGGTTTGGAGGCTGTGGTCCCTGAGCACCCTCTTTAGTGTCACCCTGGCTGCCTCCTCTGTTTCTTGTAGGTAAAGATGAGTGCCTATCCCTGCCCTCCTGCATCTCTCTGGTATTAGGGAAGGTGGAGCTGTGGCAGAAGAGAGGGAATGAGAATATTCAGGAGCAAAATTGGGCAGGGAGTGTGGTGGCAATGACACTGATCCCAAAGGCAACCCCATGTGGATGAGACTTCTCAGACCGGGCAGTATGTGTCTGGAGCTTCCTTAGGATCTGGACAGATTGCTCCTTGCTTGCATCCTTGCCATGAAGGCGAGAGGCACTTAGCCACTACTGGCAATGGTGTGGGCCCCACCAGTGGACACAGGGACAGGTTCCAGTATAGGTTGGGGAACGACCTGTTAGAGAGCAGTGTAGGGGAGAGGGACCTGGGGGTCCTAGTGGACAACAGGGTGACCATGAGCCGACACTGTGCCCTTGTGGCCAAGAAGGCCAATGGCATCCTAGGGTGTATTAGAAGGGGGGTGGTTAGTAGGTCGAGAGAGGTCCTCCTTCCCCTCTACTCTGCCCTGGTGAGACCTCATCTGGAATATTGTGTCCAGTTCTGGGCCCCTCAGTTCAAGAAGGACAGGGACCTGCTGGAGAGAGTCCAGCACAGGGCAACTAAGATGATTAAGGGAGTGGAGCATCTCCCTTATGAGGAAAGACTGAGGGAGCTGGGTCTCTATAGTTTGGAGAAGAGGAGATTGAGGGGTGACCTTATTAGTGTATATAAATATATAAAGGGGGAGTGTCACGAGGATGGAGCCAGGCTCTTCTCAGTGGCAAACAATGATAGGACAAGGGGCAATGGGTACAAACTGGAACACAAGAGGTTCCACTTAAACCTGAGAAGAAACTTCTTCTCAGTGAGGGTGACAGAACACTGGAACAGGCTGCCCAGGGAGGCTGTGGAGTCTCCTTCTCTGGAGACATTCAAAACCCACCTGGACACGTTCCGTGTAACCTTATCTAGGTGATCCTGCTCCGGTAGGGGGATTGGGCTAGATGATCTTTTGAGGTGCCTTCCAATCTCTAACATACTGTGATACTGTGTGACAGGAACATGCCCTGGGAAAAGGCCCTGGATTATATATACAAACATCTGAGATGCTTCCCTGGGTCAGGGCATGTTCTGCCTGCCCCAGCACAAATCTTCATACAGAAGGAGAGCATCACATGATGAATACCCAACCTTATAGAATGCTCTTGTTTTTATTACAAAGGAAGAAGAATCATTTTGCTGATAGACAAGAGTGGCCCAATGTAAGAAGGGACACAAAGACAGGCCATGGTGGAGTATAGGGACCTTGCAGCTTGCCTGGCCGATGCCCCCATGCTCTCAGGGCTGCCTCTAATTTCACCCGTGCTCTGTTGGCATGCATGGCCAGCCAGCTGCACACGAGCTCACTTGTCATCACCAGTCCTTGCCCCAGCCCGGTCTGAGGTTGTCAGGTTATTTTTGGCTGAAGCAGGATGCTGGTTTTGACACATGCGAGGGTGTGGGGGTTACCAGGGAGCAGCACCAACACCGGGTCCCTGCGTGGGGAGCTGAAGGTGCGCAGTGCCCACGGGTGGCTGGTTGCACCCAGGGGGGCTGCGAGGCGGCACGGGTGGAAGGCAGGAGGTGATGTGGTGGCTCTGCCTGGGTTTCCTGTGCAGGGTGAGGTGCTGGTGTGGGCAGCAGGCCCTGTGGCAAGAGTGCTCCTTGCAATGGGTGTGAAGTTGAGACTGAATCCATGCAGTGCCAAAGCACAGTGCTCTTCCATTCATTAACAAGGAACAAGGGATGGGACAAGAGGAACCGGCCTCAGGCTGCACCAGGGCAGGTTTAGATGGAGCTGAGGAACAATTCCTGCCCCAGAGGGTGCTCAGGCATTGGAACAGGCTGCCCAGGGCAGGGCTGCAGGCACCGTCCCTGCAAGTGTTCACACAGCATGGAGACGAGGCCTCAGTGCCATGGGTCAGGGGTGGCCTTGGCAGGGCTGGGGTAAGGGTTCTTACACAGCTGATTCTGTGATTGATGGTGCTGCACTGTGGTTTATTTTTGTTAGTTTCTGTATTTAACGTGTAATTTCCTTATCAAACAAGGGGAGAGCTCATGCATGAGCAATGCTCTGCAGAGCTTCACCACCATGGCCCTGCAGGAGCGCTTTGCTCTCCAGTGAGGCTGCAGGGGCACTTGCTCCCTGCTCCAGTTCCATGGAGGCTCCCCCAGGCTCCAGCCCTGCTGCGGCCGCCATCCTGAGGGGTGCGGTGAGGGCGCAGTCCCTGTGCGCACCCGACCCCAGCCTCCTCCTCCTGGGTGCAGCCTCACGGCCTCTCTGTCCCCGCAGAGGTGGAGTCGGACATCCTGCGCCGGGTCCGCACGCTGCTGCGAGAGCTGGATGGGCACCACCCCGCCTGCCAGTGCGACCGAGGTAGGACCGCTCCGGACTGGGCACGGCCCCAAGGGCAGCTCCCGCCTCGCTGGGGCGCTGCTTGGCCCCAAACCCGCATCGCTCCCGGGCTGGGGGCGCACGGGGCGGCCTCACCTCCATGGTGCTGCTCTGCCCCTTCCAACGTGCTCCCGGAGCTCTCTGCCCCTCAGCTGCTTCCATCCCTCCTCTGCGTGTCTCTTCCATCCTTGATAGCCTTCACTTGCCCACAGCACTGGGGTGGGATGACATCCAGCGCAAGCCTGTGACGCTGTTCCCACACAGACCTGGCCAACTCATTTAACACCTCTTGAGCTGGGAGTCTCCCTGTCCCTCCCTGCGTGATACTGCTTTGCCACATGCTGCTCAGCTCCTCCTGAAGGGTCAGTTGAAATGCCCATGCTAGTTTTGGGGAAGAAAGCCCTTGCTGACCTGGCAGCTGGACTGCTGCAGCCTCAGGAAATTAATTCATTTTGAAGAACTGATTTTACTTGGAGTGCATGGGATATTTTATAGTGCATTAAATGCAGTTTAGTCTGGAATGAGCCTTGACATCCTCAGGACTGAGGTGCTTTGGGTCCTTGCTCTGAGTGTGACCCATTGGCAGCCAGCATTCAAGTACTGTGTGCTGAGGCCAGAGGAACCCAAACTCTTTGGGCAGGCAATGAAATCAGGCAAAGCAACATAAGGAACAGCAAGCAGAGCCTCACATCCATTGCCCTGCCTTGTTTTTACAGCCCTTTGCCCCAGTCCTAGGATCTCTGGGTCATTTTTCCAGAGGTTTCCCAGTGTTAAAGGTGGGATACATCAATGCTGCACTCAGAACCAGGGCAGCGGCAGGACTTTTCCCTTGCAGAGGGTCAGTGACTGAAGCAGAGGGCAGCAAAGCCTTGCTTAGCTCTGATGGTGCTGTCAGCGTAGCATCCCAGTGGGTGATTTCTGCAGCAGCAGTGCCCAGGTCTCCTGATTCCTCAGTGAAACTGCCCCTGAGCCATCACTGCTCTGCATCTGACACCTTCCTTGGCTTTCACTCCTCAGGGATGCTGCGATGGACCCTGCACAAGAAAATCGACCAGAACCCCAGTAACAGCTCTGTCCTGGTCAAGATCCTGGTGAAGGAGCTGGAAAGGGTGAGTGCTGCCTCACAGACATCCCTGGAGCACCAGGATCAGCCCCATCTGTGGCACATGCCCCTCTACAGTGCCTGAGGGAGCAGAGGATGGGGCCTCAACTCCACCTCCAACAGATGCTTTTAGGGGCCTTGAGCCTGGCTGGGCACTGGGGTTCACAGCACAGAGTGAAACACACCATGGGACAACAGGGCAGAGCTGGAGCTTGGCCGAGCTGATGGCTGCAGGGACCAGAGGTTGCCCCAGCAGTGACAGTGGGCTGTGGGCAGAGCAGGGAACCTCCCCGGGCTCCTCAGTGCTGTAGAGGCAGACAACAGCCTTTGAGTTTGTAAAGAGCAGAGTGAGAAACCCTTCTGAGCACCCCAGATCTCCCTCACCCTGCCCCTGCCAGCTGCAGGACAAGCAGAGTGGAAGTTTCTGCTCTGCTTCACTCCTTTCCACCCCAGAGCACGTCAGAGCAGAACCCCCAGTGCAGGTCCTGTCCTGAGGGCAGCTGCTGGAAAACTTGTGATGGGTTCTTTGTTTCATTGATTTCTGTTGTCCTGTTCTGGTCTCATGGAAACCTTCAGCACCCGCAGCACCCTGGCAGGGCCTGGTCTGTGGTTTGGGGAGGTGTCGTGTGGAGGTAACACCTTTTCTTTCTGATGAGCCTGTTTCACTTTACCCAGCGCCTTCTCATTCTGATGCAGGGAGGAACGTCCCTTGTCCCCACTCCTCCTCCTCCCCATGCTGGTGGTGAGCCCCTGCCACCCACCCTGTGTGCAGGAACCTCCCAGTACCATCTGCTCCCCATCTTTGCTAGTTCTCCCTTTGAGCTGGAATGATGGAGCTGCCCTGCTCAGCATCGCTCAGCTCCCGTGTCTCGGGGTGCTGCTCAGTGCCTCTGCAGACCCTGTCACCTCCCTCCATCAGCACCCATATCACACTCTTGAGCAAAGGTGTCAGCACAGCACAGGTCCTTGTGCCCACATGGAAGCACTGTGAGCATCCTGCAGTTATTCCTCATGCTTGAGTTCCACCAGGGCCATGGGCAAATATGAGCTGGTCTCAGCAACTGTTACTCATGTTATTGATGATTTCTAAAGCTTTGCTGCTATCAGTTCCATTGAACTGGGATCCATCAGCACAGCAGCCCTGAAGGAAGGCACTGGGAATATCTTTGAGGTGAAATTATATTCCCCAGTTTTATTCAGGGGCATTCCTGTTGTTGGAGCTGCTGTTAGAGCCAGATCAGGCTGCAGGGAGGGGCTGGATCTGTGTCAGCCAGAGCATCCATCTGGCTTCCCATGGGCCAAGATGGGGATGCGAGACCATCTCTCCTCCCTGTTTACTCTGGTCCCACACCCAGCAAATGAAAAACAGGCTTTTCCCAGAGGTTTTGTGTTTCCACATGAGTTTTTGCAACAGAAAGGAGCTCCTCAGTGTGCTCAATTAGAAACTTCTGCTGGTTCTCTCCCACCGTGGCTGCTGCATGGGCAAACCACGCTCTGGTAGCAGCTCCTGGGGCTCCACATCCCTACAGCTGCCTCCAGCCCTGTGGTCCATTCCCCTACACCCCTCCCCAGGGCTTGGCTGTATGGGATGCCCACCATGCAGGACCTACTGCCCCAGGGACATCCTGCCCACCCATGGCCTGTCAGGGATACCAAACTTCACCTTGACGCAGGGAGCATCACCCCTAAGGCAGGGCATCAGACAGAACCCAGCACATGCTGGGGTCTCCAGTAGCTCCTCTGGCTCTGGTGTCTCCCGTCCCAGCACCCTGCACGGTGCTGATGGTTCCTTTTGGTCCCACAGGCAGAGCGAGGTGACTTCAGGCATTACATCATCCCCCTGCTGCACACGCTGATGTATGCCTTGATCAAGGTGAGTTGCTTGTGGGGCTTCACTGGGGCAAGATCCAGCGAAATCAGAGCCCACAGGAGGGGCCACCTGAGGTCACAGCACCTATTCCTGTGCTGAGGTATCCCAGTACTCGCCCAGCAAAGCCCTGGGGCTGCCACAGGTGGACTCAGACGTGCATTTTGCACTGTGCTGTTTGGTGGCTGAGGCACTGTGAGCTCTGACACGTGTGGAAGTGCCGGGCCCTTCCAGCTCATCCCCTCCTCTGGAGCTCTTCAGGTGCCTGGTGGTGCAGGAAGCCACAACCTGGCAAAAACCTGCTCCCTGCCCTTCAGTGGGTGCTGCTGGAGGTTTCCAAACCATTGCTGGGCCTGGTTCTGCTTCTTCTATTGCATTTAAATCCATGTTGAGCTTGGTGTAGCTCTGTGCGTTCCCACCCTGAGGGATCACTGCCTGTGGCATCTCCTTATCTGCCCCTTTCTCACTCCAGGCTCCCTGCATCTCCAACGAGCTCTGTGGCAGAGTGTATGATTTCTGCAAGAAGCTGCTCACCCTGCCCAAGCCTTTCTGCACCATTGGCTTGGACTATGCTGCCAGGCTGAAGATGGAAAGGACAGCACCAGGTACGAGGGTTCTCTCTGCCCATGCATGGCACAGTGAATGGCTTGGCTCCTGGAGGCAATGGTAGTGAGATCCTGGGGGGATTTCCATCCCTCAGTTGGCCTTTTCCTAATGCAGGGAGCCACGGCAGGGATTTCTGCAGGGGGCGGACAAATGCTTGCAAGTGTTAAGGGTGCATTTGGATGGAGGGTTCCCCTCTCCTGATTTTCAGGCTGTTGAGCCTTAGTTACTAGCAGAAAACATTGGGGTCCTGTTGGTGTAGGCACCACCACTGGGTCAAGTCCAGTGGTGTCAAGTCCAGCCTGTTTAATGCCAGGTATGCATACACCATCTGTCTGTGTGAGGAAAGGTTGCTTATGCTCCAGCATGGACATCTCAGCACATTTTGTAGAGGTCTCCTTTCCCAAAGTGAAATCTGAGGCTTAGTTGCAGGCTGAGGGGCATGGGCTCTTCCTCCACTGCCTGTGCATCGGGTTTTAGACACTAAAGCATCATTAGCTTCTGCAAACAGCAACCCCTTTTAGGAAACAAGCCAGAGGACGGCTCTACCTTAATTTTTCTCTGTGTTGCTCTTTAAAAGGCTTCTCATTAAAGTTTTCTTTAATAAGAGTCTTTAAAAGCAATCCTGTAAAACAGTGCAAGGTGCAGATAGCTTGTGAGGTGGAGGGAGAATATGAGAGACCTGGTGGGACACTGGAGAGAAAGTGCCATTCTTGGTAGTCTCAGCTCATCAGCATCACTCGAACCATTCTTCCCCAGTACTGTGTTGTCTGGAGCTCCAGGTCCACCTTTAACCCACCTGACTCCTGCTGAAAGAAGGATTCAGTGTGGGGAGATGGGGATGTCCAGCGGGGTTCACAACAAGGTTCATGAGATGGTTGCAATGTGGGGTGGATGTATGTTCCTCACCCAAGAGCTGGGTGAGGGCAAAGCACGTCTCTCCTGATTCAGAAGCATGTTGTGCTCTTCATATCCACCAAATGCTGTCTCCTGACACGGCCCTGGGCAGGGAAGCTGGGAGCAGGGCTCTTCCTCCTGCTTCCGACTCTGCTCCCGAGCTCATAATCCACTAAACAAAGGAAGGGAAATACAGGAAACGGTCCCTGAATAGGAGGAGTTTTCTTTTTCTGCAACATGGCCTATCTTTGTCCTGGCTATTTTTAACTCTGGGCCTGATTCTTGGCTCTTTTACACTGTCTCACTGCAGTGAGTGTTCACCAACTTGGCAGGCCCACAACCAGGAGCAGTGCTGAGCAGCTCCAGTGAGTTGTGTTGTCGTTTCTCATGCTCTGACTCCTCCGTGTTCATCTTCTTGCATTTCCTAGGAATGTTGTACCAGAGAATGGTCATTTCCGAGCAAAGCCTCAAAAGTGACCCGTATCCTTATCAGGAAAAGTGAGTATTGTTGCTTTAATTTCTTTTATTTCACAGTGAAATCTGGCCTTTTCCTGCCCTGAATTAATGTTGATTGGAACAGGAAATTTGGACATAACTCACATGGCAGTTTGTGCTCCTGGGGGAAACAATTTGGTGGCATCAAGTGCCTTGCTAAAATGAGCTTTGCATTCCTTCCATGTACTCCAATTTATTTCTGTGGCCCTGGGAGGCATGGAGCTTCCTGTGGTGGGAAGAGAGGGAATAGAAGGGGAATATCAGCAGCAGCCGTTTTTCTTTGCATGGGATAATGGATATGCCCCGATATCAGTAATGTGGAGTCCTCATCTTAGAATCACAGTATCCCAGCCTGGTTTGGGTTGGAAGGGACCTTAAAGCTCCTTCAGCTCCAACCCCTGCCACGGGCAGGACCCCTTCCACTGGAGCAGCTTGCTCCAAGCCCCTGTGTCCAACCTGGCCTTGAGCACTGCCAGGGATGGGGCAGCCACAGCTTCTCTGGGCACCCTGTGCCAGCGCCTCAGCACCCTCACAGGGAAGAGCTTCTGCCTAAGAGCTCAGCTGAGTCTCCCCTCGGGCAGGTTCAAGCCATTCCCCATGGAATGGAAGGTGATTTTGGGTTGTGGTAAGGTGCTGCTGGAGCACTGGAGATTGGAGTGATGCTGGGTCTGCAGGTTCAAAACCCTCATGGGAGCAACTGTGTGTGTATTAGGAGCCTGCTCTGAGGTCTCCTTGAGCCTTCTCTTCTCCCTTTCTCCCTCACTCCTGCCCACACAGGATTTTCATCTTTGCTGATCCAGAGCTGCTCTCTGAAGCCATCTGCAATGCACTGGTCACCGACACGGAGGCAGCTCAGGTCTCGCAGAGCCCACGGGCATGCATGTGCTATGTGATCATCCACGCCATGCAGGCAGCCCTGGGAGAGGGCTGCGACGTCAGTGGCTTGAAGGCAAGCCTCCAGGTAAGGGGCAGCACTTCGGCAGCACCACGTGTGGTTTCCCGATGGTCCTGCTCTTGCTGGGTACCTCTGAGCAGGGGAAGATGTTACAGCAAGTGGAGAAGCTCTGCTGGGTCCTCACTGCTGGTCTCCAGCCCCGGCAGCCCCAGTGGTCCTTGCAAGGCTGGGCTGTGAGCAGAGCTGGTGGCACACTAAAAACTGCTTCAAGTATAAAAGACTTGCTGTAGGAGGAGCCGAAGGTTCTGAATCTTCAGTCTGAGTTTAGCACAGCAAAAGAGTTGGGCTCTGCAGTGGAATACCCGCTCCTCCTTGAGCCGTTGGGCATTGCAGGACCCTTGCAGTGGACATGTTTCAACCTCCTTTAAGGAGCTGTGGGGTCACAGTAAGACAAATGGTTGTAAAAGGCAGCTCTGCAGGGGCTGTCAGTGATTTCCACTCCAAGGATACCTTGGTGTGCCTGCTGTCCTCATCTCCTGAGGGTCGTGTGAGCTGCCAACTCTGCTGCAGCTCATGCCCATCAGCTGAAAACCTGCCAGGAATAGCTTCAAGTAGATAGCACAGCCAGCACCTCTCCCCCTCCAGCCTTCCCTGTGGGCAAGAGGACATCTGTGTCCTCTGCTATGAAACACTGATTTTGGCAGGACTCACTTGCCGTCTTTCTGCCCCATTCTGTGGCCCTGCCTGTGCAGCACCACCTCCGGGTGTTAACAGCCTCTCCTCATGACAGGATATGCCCAGCACCGATGTGGAGCACTGGTTCCAGCAAGTGGTGCTGGCAGTGGAGTGTGCAGGAAGTGAGGCTGGCACTGACCGCGGGCAGCACGCAGCGAGGCTGGAGAAGATCCACCACAGCATCCTCAGCTCCTCACAAGCAGGTGAGCTCCAGCCAGCCATGCACAGGGGTCCGGGGAGTCAAGCAAGCTGGCAGGACCTTGCCTCTATGCCCTCCTATGGTTGTCCATCCCCACCTCCCTTATGCCTCCACTTCAGCAGCACCCATCACTGGCATCAGGTCCTTACAGCCTGGCTCTTTGCAATGACCTGATGTCCAGGATGGCAAACTGCACGTGGCAGTGGAAGGCAGACTTGTCACCTGAGGAAATGGACTGTGGCAATTGCTGCTGCTAATTCAGGTGCCTTGGGGCCTAGAGGCATGTGTCTGTCATTTGCAAAGGGTGGACATTCTAGTGCTCTGCTGGAGCAAGACACATCCTGCTGTGGCCCTGGCTGAGTTGACACTGTGCATCACTCATTGAGAGCTCCTTGCACTGCTGTGGTGGACAGTGGTGCTGCCATCTCCTTCCATCCCTTGCAGTGCTCTGTTCCAGCCTGGTCCCAAGGGCCTGCACAGACTACAGAAAACATCCCAGTCCATCACAGCTCCTCACACAAGTCTTTGTGTTAGGGAGAGGAGGAGGAACATCTCCTTTGGTGGCAGTGAGCTATTGAATTGTCTCGCTGCTTCTCACAGAGCCATAATGGGATAAAGATCACCAGCAATGGTGGAGTCAGAGGGCTCCCTTGCATCTCAGCTGAGATTGCCAAGAGATAGCATGGGCTATATCAGCAGGGGTCTGAAGCACAGCACCAGTGGGGTTCATGCACCTCTGTGGGAAAACTGCTTCTGTGTTACAACATCCTTGTCTCCCCCAGGCAATGCTCCCCTGGGAGGGATGCAGGGTACCCCTCTCCCCAACCCCAACATCAGTTTTCACCTCTGGACAGAAGACGACCAGCTCTGTGAGTGCCCTGGGAGGCTGTGGGGCGGTTGGGGGGTGCCTGAGGCTGGGAAGCCTGTGCAAAACATTTCATTTAGTCCTGGTTCTCAAGCAGTGAGTTTCATAACCTGTGCTGAAAGGCCAAGCCCATGGAGGCTCCTGCTGACTGTGGGCTGACCTGTGGGGTTTTGGGGTCAGATCAGGGGATTAGGGGGGGAAAGGGATGAAAGAAATGAGGAAGGAGCCCCCATGGGACAGGCTGCAGCAGGATGTCCCCAGAGTCTCCAGTCTGAGTGATACTGAGCTCCCTTCGTGGTTCAATGAGACAGGGCTGGAAGAGTGACTCCTCTTGGAGGAGGTACTGGCATAAGAAGAGGGGAGCTGGGGCAGGACTAGAGCCCAGTCCGCCCTCGGCTGTATTTCACTCCTCAAGCTCTGTTCTGCCCGCAGGGAAGGAGTTGGTGCTGTTCATCCGCCCGCTGTCGCAGAGCTGCGAGCCCGACTGCCTCAGCCAGGACGCGGACGGCTTCGAGATCCAGGACATCATTTCGGACTGCGAGTGCTGTGAGCAGAGCCGCTTCTCGGTGCTCTCCACTGACAGCGGCATCGAGCGCGACCTGCCCGCGGCGGCCGAGGAGCCCTTCGCGCCCGGCAGCGGCGAAGCGGAGCTCTCCCGGCTCCACAGGAAGGGCGGCATCAAGAAGAAGCCGTCTCCGCTGGAGAGCGTGGCCTTCCTGCAGGCTGGCTGCAACGGCCCCGCCGCCAAGCCCCCCGCCAAGCTGCAGAGGAGACCGGGCAGCCCCCCCGCGCCCGCAGCCCCGCTCCACAGGCTGCACACTGCCCGCATCCTGCTGCTGGGCGACGACCGCATCCTGGGGCGCCTGGCTCAAGCCTACCACTCCTTGAGGTAAGCAGTGGCCACAGCCTCTGGAGGCTTAGCGAAGGGAGGACAGAGGAGGGGCTTTGCTCTTCAGGTGGTTAAAGCAGCCAAGAAGGATGGGGATGGGGTTGGGCTCCAGAGTTACCTGGGACGGGATGGGACCTTGGTGTTTTGCACCTAAGCATGAAGCCAGGCTGAGAGAGCTGGGCTGGGTCAGCCTTGAGAAGAGAAGGCTCCTGAAGGGGAGACCTTAGAGCAGCTCCAGTGCCTAAAGGGGCTGCAGGAAACCTGGACAAGGGCCTGTAGGGACAGGCCAAGGGGAATGGCTTGAACCTGCCTAAGGGGACTGAGCTGAGCTCTTAGGCAGAAGCTCTTCCCTGTGAGGGTGCTGAGGCGCTGGCACAGGGTGCCCAGAGAAGCTGTGGCTGCCCCATCCCTGGCAGTGCTCAAGGCCAGGTTGGACACAGGGGCTTGGAGCAAGCTGCTCCAGTGGAAGGGGTCCCTGCCCGTGGCAGGGGTTGGAACTGGACGAGATTTAAGGTCATTTCCAACACAAACTATTCTATGATGCTATGATTCAAACATATCTGATTTCACTGGCTGCATGGCATCATTTGGCTCTGTTACTCCAAATAATGCACCCAGTGGGTTCTTCCCTTCTGTCCATGGAAGGAGTTAAATGAACAATAAATGAGGCAAGACGTTTCCCATGCAAAAGGGGAAGATCCTAAAGAAAAGCTGTTTTCCAGCTGGCTTTTTCCAGCTGGTTCACCTGGTCCAGGAGAGCGGCATGGGGTGGGTCTGGGTCATGGTGCAGGCAGCAGAACTGGGTGCAGAGTGTTCCATGGGTCCCAGCTGAGAACCTGTGTGCAAGACACCCCTTTCCCCCATCATCCCCCCTTGCTCACATTGGGAACCCAGGGACACTGCTGCCATCCTCTGCCACTGGACAAAGGAGGTGTGTGGACAGGGCCTGTGCTCCTGTAACAGAGCCACTGCGGTCTCCAGGCACTGCCCAGCCTTGGCAAGACCCCAGTTCTTCCTTCCACCTCCCCCTGTGACACAGCTGCTTATTTTCCACTCCAAGGAAGCGGGAGACACGGCGAGTTTTCCTGACTTCCAGGCTGAACCTGCAGTTCTACTACATCCCAGTGGCGACGGGGCAGCCAAACACCTTGGATGTTACGGTGAGTTTGGGCTCTGCTGCTGGTTGCCAGCACCCGACAGTGGTTTGGGAAGAAGAGGAGGGGAGTTAATGGAAATTCATATCCATTAATGCCTTGTTCCTAGAACAAAGAGGATGGGAGCCAAGTCAGGGTGGCTGGGCTCAGTTTGCACACTGGCTTCAGGAATCCATCAGCCTGAGACATTCAGGTTGCTCCAATTAGCCTGATGGGTGATAATGCACAACCTAGAAGTGGTATTCAGTTTTGCTTCTATAGCTCAGTAATAGGAGGATTGAGAGAGCTTCAGCAAAGGAGTTATGCTTTTCTCACCTCCCAAACACCTAGGGGAAGTGGTCACCCTTACTGAGAGCTTTGCCTGCTTGGTCATGGCCCATTTTAGTTCTACAAGTCATTACCTTCCAGTCTATCATGGGCACATCTCTTCCCCTCTGGCAGCCTCATGACAGCAGCAAATAAACAGTTGCACTTTACACAATATTTTAGGCTGGCCCAGAGTGGGCTGTGGGTTCTGACAAGCACCCATTATAAAAGTGAGTATTTCTCTTTAATTCTTCACTTTGGTTTTGTTCTTGAGCACCTGCTACATGAGTGCTGCAAGCAATGTTTTGTTGCCTTCTCTGGAGCAAGCAGGGAAGGGGGGGATGTGGGAGTTGCTCATGCCCCAGCTCCCTCTGCCTTCTCTGCATCTCCTGGTGTTCCGAGCCATCTCGTACTCTGAGCTGTGTGTTTCTCCCACAGGACCACACTGCCTCCGGCCAGGAGGAGCTCTGCGAGGTGGCTGGGTACCTGGGCAGAGCCGACCCGTGGTACGAGAGCAACATCAACACTCTGTGCCACATGATTCCCAAGCTGGCCACCATGGTACGAGGGAAACCTGTCCACATCCCCAGCCCAGCCCAGCCCATTCCCCAAGCACATCTGCCATCCCTGAGGAGGAGCTTGTACCCTGCAGCTCCTCCATGCCCCAAGACAAGAGTTTGCTCCCTCCGCCAGGGCCCTGCAGCAGGGAGGTGCATGTGGCTGCACTGCCCCAGCCCCTAAGACCCACTGGTGGGGTTTTTGGCCAAGGGACAGGAAATGGCAGGTTTCAAGAAAGAAAATGTAAATGAGGCATTTGCTGAAATCCCCCAGTTCTCATTTCCCAGCAGTATGAACCACCACCGATAGCCTCCAGAAAGGGCTGGTAGGTGGGTGCAAGCCTTTGCTGCTCCCATTTGCTTTGACTGCTTATGGCACAGCAGCTCCTTGCTCATCATTTACCAAAGCAGGCGTGAGGGTTTGTGGCAGTGTTTTTGAGAAATGACTGTGGCTGATCCATGATGTGATTTGTCCCCCCCAGCCTTCCTCACCGAGCAAACATCTTGTGACTGATCTGTTCATCACTGACGTGATCGCTTACTACGTTCGCATGGGCATCCAGCCCGTCTGCTTCCAGGTCTACTCTGTGAAGGTGGGTGCCCCTTGTGCCTTCAGGTGGCCCTGAAGGGCTTGTAGAGCCCCACTGCTAGCAGAGCTGTGCCAAGTCAGCGGGGTCTGGTGGCTTAGAGCACATCTGAGCCTGAATCTCCTGCTCCTTAACCTGTCCCTTCCTTGCCTGGCTCCCAGATCTAGTGACATGTAGCTCATGTACATCACGTACAGAATCAATGTACAAGCTCAGACAGAATCAGTGATCCTGGGATCACGCAGGTCAGCAAAGTGAGCCCTGAAATGAAAGGGCCCAAATTTCCTCCCCTGCCAGATTGGGGATTGCTCAGCTCTGGCTCCTTGTGCTGCTTTGGATGCTGGGAGGAAACAGTTTTCTCAGTGGCTTTGCCAAAACCTCCCTGTGCCTTGCAGGGCCCTTGCAGGGCTTTCTGAAACACCACTTTATTTCTTTCCTGCCAGCTTGTCTGTGAAACGGCATCAGGGTGAGACCTGGCCCTTGATATGAGAGCAAACAACTACTGCATTTGGTTGCGTAACATCAGCTCCCTCTGCTCCCCCAGCAGTTCTCCCCCTTCAAAGCTCTGGGTGGTACTAATGCACCTACCTCCTTTTAGTCTACACGTAGCCAATGGGGTAACCTATGCAGCAAAGGAGCAGCCATTGCATGTGCAAACTGGTATGTGGCTTGCAAAGAGCTCAAGGACTTTGGTAACTACTAGGAGAGCATTACCAGGACTTGATCTAATAACATGCAGCTTGTAAACCCTTGGACCACCAGGTCCGCAGCCCGTGTGGTTGGGGACTGGGGGTTTTTTGGTGAATTTTTATTTCACTCATTTCCCCTCCAAGACAAAAATCAAAAGCCAGCAAGAGGCTGGATGACTCAAGCAGGGGAAGAGGAACTGGCTCCAGATGTGGTTTTCAGATAAAGGTGCCCAACCTACTCTCTTGTCACACACGGTGTGATGCTGCTTCATCTGGAATCACTGGGCCTAGTCTGCCTTTTTTGGTTAAGACCACAGTGTTCCTCTTTAGCTGAAGAGAGTTTTCCTGGAACTGAGGGTCAAGATCCATAGGAGCTGGATGTAGGCTTAGGAGAGGTTCCTGAATACCTCATAGGATCATAGAATCAGATCAGTTTGGGTTAGAAAAGACCTTAGGATCATCTAGTCCCAACCCCCTGCCACTGGCAGGGATGCCTCCCACTAAACCATGTCACCCAAGGCTTTGTCCAACCTGGCCTTGAACACTGCCAGGGATGGGGCAGCCACAGCTTCTCTGGGCACCCTGTGCCAGCGCCTCAGCACCCTCACAGGGAAGAGCTTCTGCCTTAGATCCAATCTAAACTTCCTCTGTTTCAGTTTGAACCCATCACCCCTTGTCCTATCACTGCAGTCTCTGATGAAGAGTCCCTCTCCAGCATCCCTGTAGCCCCCTTCAGACAGTGGAAGCTGCTCTGAGGTCTCCAAGCAGCTTCTCTTCTCCAAGCTGAACAGCCCCAGCTTTCTCAACCTGTCTCCTTACAGGAGGTCATCCTCGTGGCCTCTCTGGACTTGTTCCAACAGCTCCATATCCTCTTTATGTTGAGGACACCAGAACTGTACACAGTGCTGCAAGTGAGGTCTCATGAGAGCAGAATAAAGGGGCAGGATCACCTCCTTCGACCTGCTGGTCACACTCCTTTTGATGCAGCCCAGGACATGGGTGGTTTCTGGGCTCAAGTGCACACTGAAGCCGGCTCATGTTCATTTTCTCATTGACCAGCACCCCCAAGTCCTTCTCCTTGGGCTGCTCTGAATCTCTTCTCTGCCCAGCCTGTAGCTGTGCCTGGGATTGCTCCAACCCAGGTGTCGGACCTTGCACTTGGCATGGTTAAACTTCATGAGGTTGGCATTGTCCCATGTCTTAAGTGTATCCAGGTCCCTTTGGATCCCATTCCTTCCCTCCAGCACATCAACCAAACCACACAGCTTGGTGACATCCTCAAACTTGCTGAGGGTGCATCCATCCCTCTGTCCATCTTCACATTTTGCTCAAAACAAGCCTATTAAAAGGAAATAACGAGTAGCTCTGAAGAGACGGGTTGGTTTTAAGCGCATCAGTTAGAAATTACGTGCCTTGAAGCTCAGCCAGCACCTGCGGGCAGGCCTGGAAGCGGCTCCCCGTGCCCGGTGGGGGGGGTGGCTGGGAAGGGACTCGTGTGTGTGCAGTGACACCCAGTGGAGGGGACGCTGCCCGCGGCGCCCAGGGACGAGCTGCTCATGGAGGCTGCCTCTCTTCCAGGTGTTCTTCAACGACCCGGCGCAGGAGCCGGCCGAGGACGTGTTCCTCACGGAGCTGCGCACCCAGGGCCAGGACAGCTTCTCCCACAGAGGTGTGTGTGTCCCCGGAGCTGAGCCGCTGCGGGCTCCTGCCCAGCTCCAGCTTGCCCTGTCCCTCAGCCTGCAGCAGTCGAGCTGTGCCTTTGCCCGCCTCCAGGACCCTCTAAATCTGAACCAGCACCATGTTTCTGTTGAGGCAACAAGCAGGGCTTTACAGGCATCCCTTCTGCCAGATGTTTTTCCTATTAGACATGCAGCTTCCTTGAGTTGCCAGTGATGAGACAAGGGTACTTGAAGACCAGACCTTTACAGAAGGCACATCCAGCCCTTCCGCCCATGCACCCTGCTGTCTGATCCAATAGATGTTTACCATTGCTAATGGGCATAGACCCTTGAGTGAGTCCATCTGACTGGACCTGTTGAGAGCACAGAGCCTCATTCCATAGGAAAGAAGGGCCACTGTGCCAGAGCACAAGTGCTGTGACAGAGGGGGTGACTTGTCCCTTGCGAGGACCCCTCTGCTGACCATAGACAGGTGAATGAGCGAAATCTCAGTCCCATTCCTTCCTTGCAGAGTTAAGCACGACCAAGAAGAAAACGACCCTGGATGGCCCTGGCTTAGATCTCACAGTAACGTACAAAAAGGTAAATGGGGCTCTCAGCAGCCCAAAATGTCCCTGCTCACAGGGGTACCCAGCATGGCACAGATCTCCTGAGAGGAGTGCTCTGTCCCTCCTTTCCTCTGGAATTGCACTCCGGGAGAGGACAGAGAGCTCATGGTGAACTTTAAAAGCCTGTTGCTTTACCTTGCATGTGAAAAACCTGCCGGGGTGAGCTAACAGAGCCTTGCCTGCAGGTTGTGCTGAGTGATCGGGTGAAGGAGCTCGCTATGTCCCTGCGGTCCACAGGTCTGGTGATGAAAGCCATCCCTGCTGAAGAGGCTGAAGGTGGGTTCTTCCTGCTTGGAACCACGTGAAGGGAGTTTGCTGAGTTTTCTGGTGCTTGACAGAGTAAATCTGACCGTGGTTCTTAGTGCCAGTTGTGCCTGGGCTGTGATGGCTGAATCAGTGATGGGCATGTGTCAGTGTCACTACAGTCTGTGGTTGTGCGGTTCCTCATGAATGGAGTGCCTGGGGCTCCCTGTAATGAGGGGTTCAGTTCATCAGAACCATAATCTAGGCTTGGCAGCATCTCCTCTTGCTGCAGCCTTCCTCTTTCACCTTGCCCTTAGCATAGCCTCCGAGGTTTCCACCCTGAGCATGATCCCATGCAAACCTTTAGCCTATGGAGCTTACTAGAATCCTCCTTTTCTGCTGTCCTGCATTTCTCACCTCTGGCAGTGCACTCCAATGTGGGATCTGGCAACAGCCCCACTCAAAGCTGAGCTGAGATCATTCCATGTCTAAGGCTAACACACTGCTTCTGTTGCAGACCTGGTGTGTCTGAATGTGAACATCACTGAGATTGTTCGGATCAACAACTTGTCAGGACGATCGTTCTCAGTAAGTAGCTGTGGATGCTCATGGCCCTTGAGAGGACAGAAAACACGTGGGAATCCCTTACAACAAGGGTGAAAGTGGAAACAGTCTCCTGGGAGGAGAAGGCTTTGGGGTCACCCTGCTCAGAGGGTTTTGCCATTACTTTCCATGGAAAAGTCTAGATTTTTGAGCCAACACTCCAATGGCATCCCTGCTGGTCAGCACCACATTGAATCCTGCCTCAGGGCACCTGGAAGGACTGAGCTGCTGTGGGGTTTATTTGACCCCAGGGACAAAGTGGAGAAATAAAGGCTCCATCACTGTGGCTCCGTTTGGGTACAAGAGAGGGTCTGTAGTTTTGTGATCACTCCGTTAGCTCCTTACCTGCAGTGGCAGTGCCCTCCCCAGATTCTGTGTGTCCATCCCCACAGAGCTCACCAGAACAGAGGCTGCTGGAGAAGTATTTGAACAAAGCATAAACAAGAAGTAGGGACTTCAAAGAATCTGATTCAAACCATCAGAAAGCTGGGTATGCCAGAGATGGGACTGAAAGCTTGAGCTCCTCTCCTTTGTGTTCTACATGAGAGGCCAAATAGACCCCAGAGGATGTGCTGCCCCATGGGAATTGCATTGCTGCAGTTTAGGTGGCATTAAATGTTGTTGTACCTCGGTCATTTGGGCCTTGGAGCCTACAGTCTCTCAGCTGGTATTTTTAGCTTGCCAGCACCAACCTGTGCTTGTTTTCACCTGGCATTTGGAAACACCAAGGTACTTCAGTTCCTGTGGCTTGCAAAGATACACCACAGCCCTGGAGAGCAGACCATGCCCCCCATCAGACACCCCAAACCTTGCAACCTGTGCAAGCATTGCCGGTTTGGAAAGCTTGCCCTGGCAATTGTTGACTGGGCTGTAATTACAGGAAAACAATTCACCTTGTGTCGCATCTGAGGTTAAAAGAGAAATATCATCATTTGTCCCTTTGAAACCCGTTGTGCATGCACCACCCATCCAAGAGAAGGGAAGTGAGAAACTCACCGGGCTCTTCCTCCTCTCTCAATCCAGGCTGTGGCAACCAGGTTGAAAACACGCAATATCAAAATCAGGAGCACAGAGCAGAGGCCCTTCACCGTGTGTCTGGACAAGGACAGCAGAAGAACCTACAGGAACGTGATCAGGTGAGAATTCCACAGGTGCCAGGCTCTGTGCATCTTGCTGTGACCCTGGCTGGGCTGTCAGGGTGGCAGAGCTGTTTCCCATCTAGTGCTAGTCCTGATCCTCCTACACAACGAAAGACCCATGGGCAAATATGTTGCTTCTCCAGGGAAAGTGGTGCTTTTCTTTGTATTTTGGGGGATGCTGTGAGAACTGAAATGGTTCTTACATTTTAAGTGAGGTGCTGTCATTAAGACAGTAGAAAGATAGGTACCTCCAGGGACAAAGTGAGATCTTGGGTCTTCTGAATTATATCATGGAGCTGATGCTCTCTCCACTGACTGCATTCCTCACCAGGGTGTCTCAAGCATATGAAGGTAGGGGGGAAGAATTCAGCCTTGTGAAAATAGCAGGAATCAATGTGCCTGTAGTAGTTGCAGTGACATATGATGTCTTGGGAGCAGACTGGTGGTTCAAGGTCCATTGGCCACATAGAACACTCTGTAAAGTGAATTTCTGAGAAGGGAACTGCGCCAGGCTAAGGACACTGGTTTTCTGGTCAAACACTAACACACATCAACTCATTTCCAGTCAAAACAGTTGACAAAGCATAAAAGCAGCTGCACATCTTCCCTCAGCAGTCAGTGGAGGGACCTGATGTTCAGTTTGAGATCAGGCTCTGGCTCTAGAGGGCAGATTTGCACACGCAGTAAATACCTTCTTGTGCTGTTGCAGTGTGGAAGTGTCTCCTTGCCTAGAGCCCAGCTACTGCTTGCAAAAGACAAGGACAATGAAATACAACCTGCATGAAAAGGAAGATGTGGGGCTTGTGAAATACATGCCCAAATCTCTGCTGCTGCCGATCAACACGTTTGCAGGCGTCATCCAATGAAGCTGGTGTGAGAGATGTGACGTTGGCTCATCACAGAGGAGATGGAAGATGAAAACACACTAAAAGCCACCAGCAGTGATTTTACAGTTGTCATGGTGCGAAACGCTGCAACAGCAGAGGTGGATGGGGCTGTGCCCTGCTGAATGGCAGCGATGACCAGAGCTGAGAGCCCCTGCCAAGGGGCAGAGCGAGGCTGGAGAACTGAGTTTTAATCTTTTGCACAAGACAAGGAAAACCTTTGAGCTGCTTCATTTCAGGGAGCCTGGGGCAGACAGAGCTGGGGTGAGGGTGCTGCCTGTGCTGTGGGTCACAGTCCCTGTCAGTAACATCTGCGATGGTGATGTCTCACAGCCCGGCAGGGAATCAGTGCCTGTCGTGCAGGGTTCTGCACAGCATGTTCTTCATTCTGGCACAGGGTGGTGTATTTGGGCAAATCTGCAATTATTCCCCTGACTGATTTGGGAAAGGTCATTGTAAGCCTGACCACAGCTGGGAGAGCTTGTGTTTAATGCAGCTTCTATGGGAGCCAGTGGAAAACCTGCTTTTGGTTCAAAGGCACCATAGAAACAATGAAGCTGGGAAATGGGAACTCTGGTGCAATATTTGGCAGTGCTGAACAGGGCATGAACAGCTTGGGCTGTCTGGGCAGTGCTGTGGGATAGGCTGTCAATGGTATAGATCTGCCTGAAGAAGGCATCATCGAGCAGACAGTGAAGCAGCTCTGCAATGTCTGAGCTGAACCTGTGAGTCTACCTGGGATTTCGCTGTGGCTTCATTGCACAACCTCTCCACATCTGGTCTGGAGCCTCATGAGCACCAGTTACATCCCTCCAGTTGTACATCTCGGCAGCAACCACCTACAGCCCCAGCAGCAGCAGCAGATCTCCTCTGTGAGGTCAGCCGGCAATACCTCTCCATCCCGGTCTGCCATGCAGTCCCAGTCTGGTCCATGTCTGCTCTATGGGTAAGAGATGTAGAAGAGTGCTTCTGGGATTGATGGGTGGGCAGGATGCCTGCAAGACTTCTCAGTTCTTTTCCTTTGCTGCTGCCATGGTGTACAAACACTCCCCTGGTTTGCAGATGGGCAGTGACAGGCTCAGACTAAGCCGCTGTGAAGGATGATGGTGCAGGAGGACCCTGACTGCATTCCAATCTGTGGCTGACTGAAAGAATGGAAGAAACGCAGCGCGTGCTTATTGACTTTCTGAATGTGACCTGTGGTTTCTGCAGTGTCTCCAGGGAGTCTTCCCTAAATCCACACTGGGAGGTGATTTGGGGGGTTCCTTCTATGGCACCCTTCTCTCAGCTCCCAGATAACTCGTTACCTGGGTTGCCTTCACTCAGGGGTGCTTGCTTGGATCAGCAGCCCAATGAAAATGTCCTTTAGCTTTGCCTGTGTGCAGAGCAGCTATCCCCAGTCACGCCTGGCTGTCACTGATGGGGAGTCCCTGTGCTACAGGGGGATGCTGACCCAGCTGTGGTGGCTCTGTGTTAGCCCTGATGGCTGGGGACAAACCCACTCCCTGTCCTGCCTGTGCCGGCTCTGCCCAGCCCTGGGGAGCTGCACCTCTGGAAGTGACTTCAGCTTCTGGAGTCACACCAAGAAGGAGGAGCTCCCCTGCAGGTATCGCAGCCTGGGGCACCAGAGAGCAGCTTCCCTTGTGCAGAACTGCTCTGAGCCTCTGGGCTCTCCTGGCTGGTTGGGACCCACGGAAATCTTCCAGTTCTTCTTGCGTCTCTTGCCATCTGCACAAGGCTTTAAAGGGCTCAGCCCTCAGATTTCCCTGTTCCCTCTCTTTGCCAACAAGCACATGGATGCCGTGTTCCTGCTCCTGTCCACATTACCACCTGGCACAGCAGGCACCATCGCTTCCCGTTCCCAAGCTAAAGGTTTATCCACTCTCCCTTTGAACGTACCATGCAGTCCAAAACAACCACTGAAACACACTCGTGGGGGTGTAGCAGCTCTAGAGCTGGCAGCATGTGATGGGGTTTTCAGCAGTGTGAGAAGCCTCCACGTCCCAAGAGCTATTTAATCGTAAACCAGCACCAACAGCTGAAAGACCCTGTTGGGCAACAGCAACGTGACTGTTTCCTAAGGAAGCTGCCTTGAAATGCTGGCAGATGTAGCCCCTTGATCCCAGCTGAGCCAAGCACAGTCCTCAGGCCTTAATGTTCGTCACCCAGGAGTCACAAGGCTGCAAGATCTCAGCAGCATCATTCGGTTTTTCAGTACTGTTCTTCACCTCACAAGTCAGACACGGCTGATCCTCACCAACACCGCACCTGAGCAGGGAGTGCTTCGGTCCTGGAGGAAGCTGAAGTTCAACAGGAGGCTCAGGAACAAGTCAGGATACCCCTGCTTGTCCTCCTGCGCTGCTGCATAGGGTAACACAGAGCTCAAGGAAGGGCTCTTCACACCTCTGCCTCCTCGGGGCTTCACCGGGGGGTTCATGTACCCTGGCACACAAGGCAATTGCTTGCAAAACCAAGAGACTCTGCACTGGGTTGGAGTGTGGTCTGTGGTGTCCAGAGTTTACTCTGTACAGGTGTAAATGATGCAGATGGATTATAAGTTATTTGTATAGTGTCAGAGGTGATCTGTGTCAGAAGGTGCAATCCTTTTAAAGCCAATTTTTAAAAAAATATATTAAAGAAGCCAATAGAAACTGTCAGTTTGGTTGGTTTTTATATTTGTATGTGGTCAGGGGTGGGTGGGGAATAAGCTGGTAGGAACAGAAAGACATCAGTGTCATTTGGCCCTCTATGGCTAATGTCTTCTCCCCACCTTGGGGCTACACGCTGTGTTACACAGACAGAGACTTCATGGCCAAAGAGCTCTTTACAAGGGCCTGCAGGGACCCCTAAAGCCAAGGGGAATGGCTTGAACCTGCCAGAGGGGAGATTGAGCTGAGCTCTTAGGCAGAAGCTCTTCCCTGTGAGGGTGCTGAGGCGCTGGCACAGGGTGCCCAGAGAAGCTGTGGCTGCCCCATCCCTGGCAGTGCTCAAGGCCAGGTTGGACACAGGGGCTTGGAGCAAGCTGCTCCAGTGGAGTCCAACCTAAACCAGTCTGGGATTCTACTCTTCTATGAAAAAGGGAAAGTGTTTCCTGTCGCTTTGTGACCAGTGTGGGAGGATTCGGCTCTCAGTCCATCCTGGCTCTGAACTGAAGAGTTTAGCTTTTCTTTTTCCCTGCACACGGTGAACTGCAGCAAACATCACCTGCCTTTGGAACTCGCACAGAGCTGGACCATTCCTGCCCCCCCCCGCAGTACCCCCGTGTCCCGTACCGGGCATTGTTACCTCTGCTGCCGCCAGGCGCCGCTGCCCCACCCCTTCTGTCTCATGGCAATGGGGCGGGTAGCGGAGGGCTGAGCCGCGCCGGGCAGGTACGGTCACTGCGGCCCGGAGGCGCCCGCGGGAGGAGCATGCGGCAGAGCCATGAGCAAGCAGTGGTTCGTCGGCCGAGTCCTGGCGCTCTCCTGCCTGTTCCGTGCGCTGCAGGGCGCGGGCCGGGGCTGCGCCTCCCCGTTCCTGACGCTGTACCTGCGGCACCTGGGGCTGCCCGCGGCGCTGGTGGGGCTGGTGGCCGGGGCGCAGCGCCTGGCGGCAGCGCTCTGCACCCTGCTCTGCGCCTGCTGCCCCTGCGCGGCCGGGAGGCGGCGGCTGCTGGTGGCCGGCGCCGCGCTGGGCTCGGTGGGGGCCGTGCTGCTGCTCACGCTCGTCCCGCCCGCCGCCGCCGGCGCCCTCTGTAACGACACCCGGCAGGCGGGGCACCGAGCGGCGGGGCCGCGTCCGGACACCGGCAGCTACGGTGTGCAGAGCGCGAGTGCTGCTCCGACCGCGAGGGCTGTGTCAAAAGGAGCGACGCAAACGACTGCCGGCGGTTTAACAGCGAGCGGAAGGGCAGCGGTGAGCAGCCCAGCCTCCCAGCGGCCGTCTGGCCCGACAGATGTGCTTGAGAAACAGGGCAGAGGGGATGGTGAAGGTGGCACAGAGACAAACGGGTACTTGGGTGGTGCCTCTGGATGGACACCGCCTGTGAAAGCAGTTAACTGGGAGACACACGAACCAGAAATGCCGGATTCCAGCGGCCCTCCCCTGCGTGGACTCGAGAGGGAAACAAGCATTCTGGGCTCTGCTGCAAGAAGTCCTGCTGGTAACGCTGAGGAAAGGCGTTCTACTACCAAGAGTAACCAGCTCCCCGTGTTTAAAACAACCTTTCCAGCTGCTGGAGATGCTTATGTGTCTGGAAACCTTTCAGACCACCAGAAAGATTCTCAAGGTACCAGCTTTGAAGCAGTGCTAAACATCTTTCAGGACAGAAAGCACCAGGTTTTCCTCATGGTGCTGGTTGCTGTGGTACTTTGGGAGCTTTTGGCCACTTCTCTTGAACGGACAGTGGATGAGAGTCTCTATGAGTTCTTTGACTTTGTGGATGCGACTGAGGGTTATGGCAAGCTCTGGATTTGGAGTTACTTGGGTGCCTCTGTAGGTGCCTGCAGCATTGCTGTAGTCGTGGATCATCTGAATTGCTTCCTCAGCAGTTCCGTCATCCGCCTTGCTGTCCACTTCTATGGCTATGCTCTCCTGGTAACGCTCTCACTGCTTGTCACTGTCTTCTTTCCCATCCACCTTCCCAAGGAAAGCCTGGGCATTAACAGGATGGGCAATGCACTGGCGCTGCTGTGGGGCGATGGCCAGGCGATGCTGTACGCCAGCACCCTGCTCGTCACCGGTGTGGCTGCTGCTGCCGTGCACGACTTCCTCTTCTGTCAGCTGGAGGACCGAGGCAGCAGTGAGCTGTACATGGGGCTCTCTGTGGCTGTGGGGCTCCTTGCCGAAATGTTGCTTTATTTCTTCAAAGGGAAGTTGCTAAGGACTTTCTCAAGAAGCACAATTGTCGCTATCAGCCTCAGCCTCCTGGCAGTGCAGCTTCTGTGCTACTCCTTCTTGTGGACTGTATGGTCAGTTCTCCTCATCAAGATTTTATCTGCCTTCAGTAGCGGTGCTTTGTGGTGGGTGGTCAGCATGACCGTGAATGACATAGCCACGCTGGGCACGGCGAGGTCCCTGCACACTGCTCTCCAGGGTCTCTGCCATGGTGGAGGAGCAAGCTTGGGCAGTTTTGCAGGAGGATTTGTGGTGGAGCACTTTGGCTCGGCCGTCCTGTACCGGGCGTGCTGCGTGTGCCTGGTGCTGTGGCTCTTCCTCTTCTTGATCGTCCAATCTAAACTGCCACAGCAGAAGAAAATTAACTATTCTCGTCTCCTGGCTGATGGTTCCAGTGATGGGGATGACTCTGATGAGGAGAACGAGAGGGACTGGCTGGTGAAAGCCATGAAGGATGAAAGCTTTGGTGGGAACTGGTCACACCAGTGTGTGATCAACTTCAATGCCGGGGTGGTGGGGTGACGTGGGAATAATGCCCGGAAATGACCTTTAATTCTAAAGTGCTACATACATGCAATATATATCTGAGAGGATAAATTTTTATTCTTTAAATTTTATAAATCTCGTAATTTTCTCAATTTATGGTATTATTATGGTAATTTTACCTTTTTGACTGAATGATTTTGCTTCCAAAGTCATACTGAGGTATTCCAGGTATACATTTCTCAAATGAATGCAGCTGTTTGTAGTCAAAAATCCAAACTTGAATTCCTGCTCCCCAGAGCTGGTGCTGTGGAAACAGAGCAAAGCTGTGACCTGTACTGGCACAGCTGAGTGAAAACTGCTGTCATGCTGACAGCACACTGAACGTGTTCAAGGTGCTCTATCTGAACTCCTTCTGCTAAATAAGGGATGTGAATAAAAACATGGTTCATTTGCTCTCCTTCGATTTCTAAACTCAGGTTTTGCTAGAGACTGTCCTCTCCTGTTTGGGGATTTAAGTATGCTGTGTTGGCATCTGTTGGTAACAGCGCACCGTGTGTGCTCACAGTCAGGGCCTGCTGGCTGGCCAAATGGAGCAGAACAGCCTCTGCACTTCCTTGTGGTGAAGAGATTGTATGATTCTGTTTACCTAAGGTGGCAGGCAGCATCAGGAGTGACCAGGAAGCAGGCTGCCCTCCTGAGCCGAGTAACTGACGTGTGCTGGGAATTACCGGGGGCAGTATTGGTTCCAAAGGAACTTGGCACTGGCTGAGGTGACCTGGTGGAAGCTGGAGATTCCCCCCCTGGGTCAGTTTGGCCTGAGGGCAGCCCTCTTCTCACGTTTCCCTTTTAAAACTAAATCTGTGTCCTGAACAGGGCCTGCTATGAATGATGCTCAAGCTGCCTTGTCTGCCTTGCCTTTACCTCAAAGGCACACAGATTTTACCACCTTTTCAATAGGTAGGATTTATGTAAAGATTGAGAAGTGGGTGGTCTGATCTCATTAAAAGACTGGCAGAGAAGCTTTGAGCATTATGGTCCTTTCAGTTACATCAAACGCTGCTGTCAGTTCATTATGTACTTCCGTGGTCAAGGAGCAACATCTGTCTATTCCTTTGCAGAGGGATAGATCTTAATAACATCTTCCTAGTGTTTTACAAGCCATGAGATAGGCAGCTGCAGAAAGCAGAATATTTAAATGCGTATTTAATCTGTAGCATGCAAATGGCATTGCAATCTGTCACCCTGCTGCATTCTGGACTCAGTAGAGTGTTGTTGCAGACAAAGAAAAGCAGTGCCACTGAAGATAATCTTTCTCTGTATGCATCAATTCCACATAATCTGTGTATCAGATGCTTTCAGGGTAATTAGCTCTGTCTTTTCCTGACACAAGCCACTCTGCCATGCAGAATACTCTACTAGAATGACTATAGATAGAACTGTCCTCGTGCCAAGAATAGCTAGAACTTCTCATTAAGATGTTACTTTCCCCCAGGAGTTCAAACTCAGGTTGAGAGCAATTTTAGTGTCAAGTATTTATCACAGCCTTATTATCATACAATACCTTAGGAACTCGATTTACTTGTTAATAGAGCATCTGACTTCAGTCTTGAGTAACATAACTGCACATAGCACATCACGAAGCCATCAGCCCTTTTGTGAGAGGAAAATGATGCAGGAATAGCTGGAATGTTTTATAATGCAGTCCTTTTTTTAGCTTTAGGGTGATAAATTCTCTTTTTACCTGCTTTGGCACAGAAAACAGCTGCTGTAATTCCAGCTTTGCAAAGAGAAACCTTGAAATGAAAAGTGCTTGTGTGTAATCCATCCTGTGACTGAGGCGGACGGGTGGTGACAGTGTCGTGCTTGTCTCGGCCATGGATGTTTACATGTGCTGAGCCACTGCCCTTAAGAACAGGGAGCATCTAAAGTATGGCCTAAAGCTCAACTCTAGTATAGTAAACTTGCATCATGAGATTTATTATGATTTTTTACAAATTATTAATACAACAAACACATTTGGTGCTGATTCAGGGGAAAATCCTTTATGCAGTTTGACACATATTTGAAATACAAGACAGTGGAAGTGAACGTGGCAGAGGGCTCCTGCCCTGAAGACATTGCACCAATTTGATGACATAATTTTCCACTGAGGTTTAGCCAGTTTGTCTTTGCGCTCTACAACATCGGTGACTCCATTTCTTCCTCTCTGATGGTCACAGACCCTGCAAGGCAAACGGGGAAGGAAGGAAGAGACTTAAACTAATCTGTGTGAGACTTCTTTGCTCTGAGCGTGGCTTTTAAAAACATGCCAAGGAATGTAATGCTGCTGAGAGTAAGATGTAACTGAGAAGAACTAAACTGCCTCTGGGGAAGATAGATTCTCATGATGTATTTCCAACCACATCAGCAGTTATTTTTGCGCTGCTTTGCAACTATTTGCCAAAAAAATTGATGTTGCAACTTCAGGGTTTTTAAGTTTTTATCCTTAATCAGCACTGTAATGTTAAAAGTGATTATAAAATCACGTAACATTTTATTGTTTGCCTACTTCATGGTGAACTTTAAGCAAATTTCAGAGGCTGATTTGTACAAATGCTTCTTTTTTTCTGCCCCTTTGTGTCAGTCCAGGGTCTAAGTTGAGCTGTCCTTCTTTGAATACTGTTCTATTTAATTGAGCTCAGGAGGCAAACCATAGTTAGTGCTGAGGAACAAGTTCAGCACAATGCTGGTCTTTGTAGCTCTGAGGTTTGAAATGCAACATAGCCCAACGTGTGGGTACTTTGTGAGAGGTTTCAAAGGATCTGGGTAAATCAGTTTTGTTAGATAAAGCCAAAAACTGACAAAGGGCTCTTTGCTTATCATGAAACGCTGCAGGTAGTTTTAGTGCACCGCTGATGCAGCTGGACCGGAACCCGAGTAACCCATTGGATCAGACACCTCCTGCTGTCTAAAATTCAGTTCCTAAGTTACAAGAGAACTCAAATAGCAAAATGTGTCTTTCTGGCAGTTATTTTATGATGGGATATTGCAAATGTTTCCTTCATCTCCTCTCTGTGTGCACCTCACATCTGTGATTGACTTCACAAGTGTGGCACTCTCAGCATATGAAATCAGGTAAAACTCAGTGGGCAATGATCTCTAAATGTTCGTTTTTCCTGGGGATCTGATCAGCATAGTAAAATCCTTTCCAGTATTCTCTGAAGATTTCTATAATCCAGCAAACAACTGCAGCCTGTGCCTTTGTGGGCTGCAGTGAAACCTGCCCAGATGAATTCACACAGAGCTTCTGTAGTTTTGCAGTGAGTTATTTCCCAACATCGTAGATATGAATCATTGAAAGTAGGTCCACTTAGCTGTAGTTTCACAAGACGGGGAGAGTGATGTTTTTGAGAGCTGTGGGGTTATTCTGCATATTCTGAGTATTAAAAGCAAGAGCTTCTGAATTGTCTTTTATTCCAGGATGGGGTGTGACATCTCTCTGCTCTTTGGTGCTGCTCATGGAAGCATTTCTCCTTTTGTTCATCTTTAAGGTCCAGACAAGACATTCGCATGCTGATTTGAACTCTGAGGAGAATTATGGTTACAGCATGATACCAAAATTCCATGTGTATAATATGGGTCCTGTATAGCAGCCTTATTGGGCAGCTCTTGAGTGTTGCACTGAGTGGTACTAATGCAGGAAGGGGAGGGAGAGGGAGAATCTGTCTTGAAATATCTTGACACTCTCAGCTTGGCATCCCTATTGCTGTATTTATCAGTAGGGAGCAAGTGTAAAGGAATCTGCACATTTAGACTGTACGTTTCTCAGGGAACTGATACATGGGGAGTTTTCTGCATGGTTTCTCCCTGGGGCCTGATTTTACTCTAATATAAATGATATTTCTGTCCAAGGGCAATTTCTCACTTTGAGTTGGGTATGTTGAGACCATAAAACTGTGAAACCAAATGTAGAGGTGAGGATGAAACAACTTTAAAATTAACCTTTGCTTCACCTCTAATATTTAGAAATCCTGCCTGAAGAAATCCAGGGACAGACCTGTAGTTACCTTGCCTTGACCTCACTGGTACAGCAGACAGGGACGCTGCAGCTTTGAAACCTTGAGAACATTTCTGCCTCTAATCAGGTTGAAAGGTCAGAACTAGGGGGGTACTTACAACACCAGAAATAGCATGCTTGTGTTAACACAGGGTTTTATTGTTAGGAAAAGGAATTTTGAGCCAGAAAACACAGTCACGTGCTGAAATAACTTCAATATTCAAAGTGTGGCTTTGAGAAACATGAACCTGATTTTTTGACAACTCGTAAGGAAAATACACTTACTAAATTACTCCAGTTATTATGACATGTACACGCATTCGGGTCCTTGGAACCTCACTCCTTTCTCAAAAGTAACGAATTAAATACACAGCTTCCTTCTGTCCTCAAGATGCACTTGATTGAGTTGGCAAAGAAGGGCCCTGTGAGCATCACCTGGGATGTGTTTTTGAAGGCTTGGAATCAGTTCAGTGTGCCTTAGTGGTTCCTGTTGTCCGCTGTTGCCTGCTCAGGCTGTTTCTTTAAGGACCTTCAAATGACTGTGTCCATTCTCATGGTTTCCAAGCTGTGTTTTAAATCTCTGTGTGTTTGTTGGCAGCCCTCAGGTACCTGAGAGATTGTGTGACTCTTGCTTGGCACAGTTACGAGCTTACCGTGTACATGAAGCTGCTTCACTCCTACAGAAGTGACTGTGTACAGGGAGATGTTTGTGCTTTTAAGTAACATTCTGCTCATGTCCTGGAAGTGCTGCTGCTGGTGACTCGATTCACACACACAGCCACCGGAAAGTCACCTCAGGACCCACTAAAGCTGCTCAGCTGAGGATGTAGAGTGTATCTGGGGGAAGGAAGAGCTGTGGGTTCGCCTGCCAGGCAGCATGTTAGGTTATAGCTCTTTGTGTGACTCTGGGCTCTTTGATTGAATCCCATGTTTTTATTAAGTCAGTGCACAGAATGGGGTGAATTCACGTTGCAGCCCACAGCAGATCTGGCTACTCATG